CAGGGAAATTCCGTGTATCAGATCAACACGATCCACTACATTAAGCAGAAATATCCAGAGCTGCAAGTCATTGGGGGCAATGGTGAGCATCTGGGGAGGTTGGAGAAGTAGTCCCCTGCCGCCACCCCCCACCCCGCTCTCCCACCCAATGATGATGCGGGGGGGGGTGAAAGGGAAGCCAACAACCAGTGTCAGAAATGCAAGAGCAGCCGGGGGAGGGGGAGGGGAGAGGGAGGGAAATGGACGGAGAGCCCAGCGCTTTGAAGTCCAAACAGCCGGAAGGGACCATCCCTGATAGCTGCACGGGGGGGGGCGGATAGCAGGGGGGGCGCTTGCTGGCATGATGTGGGACCCAGAGCTTTGGCACCTGCCCAGGGAGCCTTCCTGGGCCAGGCAGTGGAAGAGGTGCTCTCAACCCACAGCCTGCTGCCCCCCAGGGGGACCCCCACCCCCAGCAAACCCTCCTTTTCTGCTTGGGATCATGTTTTCCAGACAACAGTGCACCACGCCTGTCTGGGGCTTCCTGCCCCTCAGGTGCCAGACCCTCTCTCCCTAGATGGAGCCTTGAGCCGCTTGGTTTCATCCGGGGCGCTCCCACCCAAATGACGCTCCCCCTCCGGCCAGGTATTTCATAAGCTCCTTGGTTTTCTCTCTTGTTGGATGCCCAGTGGTGACAGCGGCCCAGGCCAAGAATCTCATCGACGCTGGCGTGGATGCCTTGCGCGTCGGCATGGGCTGTGGCTCCATCTGCATCACGCAGGAAGGTGAGCCCCCTGGGCGGGAGCTGGGAAGGGCGGCGGCCCCATGGCCAGGACCTCTCCTCTGTGGGTCAGCATCCCCTGGCCCAGAGAGGGTCCTTGTCTGGCTTGGAACTTGACGTCGTAAACCCTGGGGCGTCCTGTCTGTCTCTCATAGTAAATGAACTGCTTTGTGGGTTGGGACACAGGATCCAAAATCCTGTTGCACGCTTACGCAAAAGGCGTAACTTTTACCGTTAGTGTGGTACTGACCTACCAGATGGGCGGGATACAAATCAAATAAATAAAATAAAAAAATAAATAAATAAATAGTGTGCTGTAAGATAAGAAATCTCTGTAAGGATGGCTGAGTGACATGACAACAGACAAGACTCACAGGGAACTCCTGAACTGCTGCCAGACTGATGCTAAAAGTTACACTTTTTGTGTAAGCACCTAACAGGATTTCAGCCGTTGCTTCTCCAAGCTTAGAAATAGGTTTTGGCTTTTGTGTACGTCCTTTGATAGTGAATGTGTGTGTGTGTGTGTGTGTGTGTGTGTGTGTGATCTCCCCAAAGTCCCTCCCCCAAGTGAGAGTGGGCAGAGGCATAACTGGTGGTTTTGTGGACGTTCTGGCCTCTGATTGGTCCCTGTGGGTGCTCTTTAAACAGGAATGCTTGGCCAGGGTGGGTGGACGGACTTTGAGGAAGATTCTCTGGGTCTCTTCCTCTCTGGCTATAGCTCACATTGTGCCTCTTACGTTGAAATCTCCTTTGATCATTTTTGTTATGGCAGAACTGGGTAAGGTTGGGGAGGGACAAATTTGGCAGATCTGGAGTTCTGTTTTCTGTCCCTGGGGGTCCTTTGGGGATGACACAGAGGGTGCAGGACTGAAAAAAAATGAACTCATCTCACACACACACACACACACACACACACTCCTTTTTTTTTTTTGCTCACTCTATGTGGCTGTTGCAGTGATGGCGTGTGGCCGGCCCCAAGGCACAGCCGTGTACAAAGTGGCAGAGTACGCCCGCCGGTTTGGCGTGCCCGTGATTGCCGACGGCGGCATCCAAACGGTGGGCCACGTGGTCAAAGCCCTCTCGTTGGGAGCGTCGACAGGTGAGCCGGGCTGGGGAAGAAAGAAGGCGGAAAGGAACCAGCTGGGGGGATTTTTAAAGGTTAGGAGAAGAGAGAAAACGACCGAAATAGTAAAACCCTGGAAAGTGTTGGTCCTGTAAGAGAGACCACCAGCAGAAGCCCCGTGGGCTTTTTTTGGTGACATCTGGGGGGCTGGTAGAAGACAGCCAGGGCGTTCTGACCCCCCTTGGCAGCTCCCGCCCCCCCGCCTCCCTGGGTCTTTTCTGCAGGGGATGTCGGCGTTCAGGACTCAGAACCCAAAGGGTGGGTGTGCTGGTTTCCTTTGAGGGAGGTGCCCGGATGTATGCTTTCTGACGTGTCGCTCCTCGGCCTTCCAAGGCTGGTTCATCTTCATGTATTGGCGGTTCCCCTCTTCTCCCTTTGGGGGAAAGGAGCCGGCTGACCGCACGGGCTTCCCTCGGGCGAGCCCTCTTTCTCTCCTGTCCTTACGCAGGACATTCTCCCTCCTTCCCTGCCCTGGCCTGCAGGTCCTGCTTTTCGAACCCCGTCTGTTTTCATTTCCAAAAAGAGCCTGGGACTGGGTGTCCGGCCACCCTGCAGCCCTTTATCTTCCCGGCCATCCTGTGAGGTCACCTGGGCTGAGAAAGAGGGCCCTTAGTGTCAGGGTGGAGAGGTGGGCTCCCTTGGTTCCAGCCGGGCCTGCTGACCTCAGCCTGGCCCCTCACCCCGGCTGAAGGGTGAGCTAGAATGTAACGCGCATATCCCGCGGATTCAGTGGGTGCCCTTGGTTTGGCTCTGCCAGCTGGATCTGCCCACTGATCTACGTGGGGTGCACCCCCGCGGGCTCTGGGAGTTGTGCCAGGCCACGGAAAGCCAGGCTTCTGTCTGGCCGGAGCAGGTCTTCCGGGCCCCCTCGCTCCTCCTCCCCACTCTCTCTCTCTCTCCTGCCTTCTCCTCTTCCCTCCCAGTTATGATGGGCTCCTTACTGGCCGCCACCACGGAGGCCCCAGGCGAGTACTTCTTCTCGGATGGGGTGCGGCTGAAGAAGTATCGCGGCATGGGCTCGCTGGACGCCATGGAGAAAAGCAGCAGCAGCCAGAAGCGCTACTTCAGGTGCAGTTTGGGGGGGCGCACTGAGGAGGCGCGGTGGGGGAGCAGGGGAGGTGGCTGTACTCCTCCAGGGTGGGTGGGGATTGACAGCGCCAGAGGGGCCGGGTCCCCAGCCCAAGGAGCTTTGCCATCACAGGTTGCCCATCGGGCAAACGGCAACGGTTCATGTCGGCTGCATGGGTGTGGCTGAGTTAAAGGGACGAGGGGGGGTCGTGTGTGTGGGACTATGGCAGGGGGTGCGGGATCTGCTAGGGCCAGGAGTGGAGGGGCTTCTTTCTGCGCCCCCAGAGTGGACAGGTTGGGGACTGGGCACCTGGGCATGAGGGAGCCAGCCATTTATTTGCAGCACAACGGAAGGAGGGCTGGAAAAAGCTGGGCATTGGATGCTTGGAGGAGGAGAGAATTGTTTGGCGAGGGGCAGGCACTGAGTCTCTCTGCAAAAATCCTTTGCCTGCTCGTGGGATTGTCTTCCCATGGGGTGGAGGGATTTGGGGTGCGGGGCCCCCTGAGTAGAGGGGAAGGCAGGGTGGAAATTGGGTCTGATCACCAGCCCTCCTGCCCCAAACATGGAAGAGGGCATTGTTCGGCCCCTTGCATGGCTTCTGCAGACCACATTTGAGGGTGCAGCTTCTTGGAAGGCCATCCATCGCCCGCCTGGCGAGGCAGCTGGAGGGGGGGTGTTGTTAGCCTGGCCTGTGGAAGGAGTGGGGGGAGACTCCCCAGGGCGTGTTGGCAGGAAGAGGGTGGGCACTAGGGCTGCTTTGTGTCAGGTGGGGGGTCAGGAAGATTCATCCCTCCCACAGTATTCTCTCGCCTTGTAAGAACCCTCGGGATTTCTGTACGGTGCCCCAAATTTCTCCCTTTGTTTTGCTTTGCCATAATTAAACGGCAGCGGGTACCTTGGATCACTCATGGCAGGCGTGGTGGGGGAGGAAAAACCTGGGGCCTTGCCTAAAGCTGTCTGGCCGGTTTGCGCCGGAGGTGGGATTCGAACCGGGGATTTCTTATTCTGCCACTCTTCGGAGCCGGAAAGGCTCAGTCCCTCCCCTTCTGTCTCCTTCCCGTCTTCCAGCGAGGGGGACAAAGTGAAGGTGGTCCAGGGGGTGTCGGGCTCCATCCAGGACAAGGGCTCCATCCAGAAGTTTGTGCCCTACCTGATTGCTGGCATCCAGCACGGCTGCCAGGACATTGGCGCCAAGAGCCTCTCCATTCTGCGGTGAGTCGGTGCCTGGGCAGCCCTTTGGCCAAGGGGGCAGAGGGGCTCCTCTTCTCTCCCTCCCTCCCTCCCTCCCTCCTTCCCCCTCTGTCCAAAAAGGTTGATTTGACAGGGCATACGGGCCGGACGCTTGTGGGAAAGCCCTTTCTCTGCCTAGCGCTGAGAAGCCATGGCCGGCCCGGGCAAGAGCCCCAAAGACCTGCAAGGGGGTGGGGGTGGGGGGCAATGGATGGCCCTGGCTTCCAGACGTCCTGGCTGGCTGTGGTGGAAGGGAGAGCCCTTGCATTGCGGTGGCAGCAGAACCAGGGAGAAGCCAGGGGGGGCGCCGGCTGGAGAGTGGGGTCGCATCCCTTCTATGCTGGGGAACAAGAGGGTGGCAGACTCTGCCAGGCAATGTGCTGCTGCCCACCTCATCGCTTGGGCACAGAGAGGGGCCTTCTCCCTCTTGGCCTCCCTTGGGCGTAGAGAATTCTGGGAGATGTAGTCCGCCCCTGCCCCCCGCAA